TCGATGGATGTTAGTGATTGGCGTTCCGTCATCCTCGTAGATTGTTTGGCTCACACCAGACTCCTTGCTGCCAGTGGCTTTCGGTAGTTACCAGATTCAGCTGCTGCTTCCAACTCATTAGCACGCTCCGAAAACCAGGCTTCTCGGTCCTTACGCAGGCTCTGCCCGATTTCATTACGTAGCAGCCTTCGTATGTGGTCAAACTCACGGTTACCTAAAGTAGACTGACGGTCCCGATGAATTGTAAGGAGCCTAAAGAAATCCAGTGCTTATAAGCAGGACGTTTCGTGAAGCCGCAAGCGACTTTACTCACCATTTTCATGGCGTCATACAATTGCAACTAATGATCATCTATACTTTTCGGTGGGATGGTAGCTAGCCTAAAACCTAGCACGGTTTGATACTTAATTGCGACAGAAATTGCAATCAGTTTACTGACATCAATCAATTTAGCACGATGAATTCGTTGGCCACTGAAAAGTAAAGTAACATTGGCGCAAACAAGGGCATGATCAGAGTTCAGATAGGTACTCCAAAAAGAGTGGCAGTCTTGTACACAACCTCGTCAGCGGTAGCTGATCGCGATGTGATCAATCTGAGTCCAGGCTTGAGACACAGAGGGAGGACGCCAGGTGGCACACTGGCGATGACTGTGCCGGAAGTTAGTGCTAGCCAGAAACAGGTGGTCTGTGCATAGTTGCAGTAGACGGTCCCTGTTATCTGTCCTGTGACCAACAAGTCCCCATCGACCACCTAAGCGCTAGAACTACAATATCTGTCGGATGCACTTTCTGAAGAACAGATAACTGGTGGTAAAATTAATCCTTGATTGCAACTGGGCTGCAATCTGTCGGATCATAGGCGATGACGAAAAAACATCGTTTCTCACGCCGATTTCTTCTCACTTTGATGGAACTTTCTAATCTAACAGCACATAACCGACTGTTAATGGAGATCCAATCGATTAATGCTGCCTCAGCTCTAGCGCTTAGTGCGACACCAACGCCAGCAAGACCAGACGAAGATGCCACAGGGTCCCCGGATAAACGCAAGTAAAACAAGCTTTTTGAGGCGACAGATGGAGAGCGAATTTGTAGTACTTCATCAGAGTCTTGAATACGGGTCTCGGATAGACAGCAAACATCGATATTAAGACTTTCCAAGGACATAGCCAACCCTATCTGTTGTCCAACCTGCATAAGTGTGCGAACGTTGAAGGCAGCCAGTTTGAATGGTGCACGTGGTTTCAGAAAAACTGCTTCAGTATTCGTATTTGGTGGTAGCATACAATTTTCAACCAGGCAGAGACTCGAGATAGTTTAGATATAATAGAGTTTCCAACATAGGCGAGCTGCTGTATAAGTTGAAAAATGGGGATATATGAAGTGAGAATAAAAAATGATAAGTGATGTAGTATATAAAGAAAAATAGTAATAATAATAAAGATGAGTGTTATCAAGAGAAAGTGAAATGTCTTAGTTCTGATCGGAGCGAGCACAGTATTTTGTTAAATATTTGTCATCTTATCAAACATGTGTGAGGGCTGTGATACTGCCCGGGTGCCCAAACCGAAGCAGGTGGTTTTCTTAGCGCACCACACCCGGAGCCTTCGACTTAAAGGTCTGATCCACAAGGCAGTGGAGCATCGTAGGGAGATGCAGTCCCATGGTGGCGGGAGACCAACAGTTGGTCCATACGCCATTTTTTCCCTCAGGATACTGGAGCCCATGTGCACCATTGGTTTGGAATCAGGGTTTCCCAGCTCCCTTAGGTGGACTCTCCGTGTCCACCAACCCAGTTAAAGTGCCGGAGTTTTGTTACATACCAACTGGCGCTTGTTAACAAAACGGACCTATAAGCTTGAACCTTTCCTTGATAATAGGTCATTTAATCTAGTGGCCACATTTCGAATTGATTGAGAGGATTTAATCAATAACTAGGAACTAGAAAAACATGATATTCGTTGCCACTGACCAAACATAATTAACATTATCGTTATTCACTGTACGTAAAAAGTTTTAAACCATTTAAAGTTTGGGAGATTTCTGCCCAAATGGTTAACTGAAACGTTATCCATGAGAGCTTTGTCTTTGGTTTAAATTATTATATACAAGGATAGGAACATCACAGATGGACTGATAACCAACTGGTCACTGAGTAGCGATCAGTGTTGCGTTTGTTTTGGGTACTGATAAAATTCCATCGAATGAGTTGCGATGAGGCCACCGGCCTACATGACTCCACATTTCATGCACTGTGTTGAGATGTCAAGTATTTGGGATTAGTCTGCAGGAAATCATATGTTATGGCCCAAAGCCGCCAATCAGAAGCAGCAAATTATCGATCGGACCAAGAACGCGTAAAACACGTGCGAGCAGCCTAGAGTCCTGATTGGTCCTGCTTTCAGCCTAGCCCAGCCAGTTAAGTCCAGAACACCAGTCTCAGCCTCTGCAATATGAATCCTTATATTTCAAACATACTGAGGTTATATACCCATCAAACAGACCACAACGTAGCATAAAATAGAAAATAACATTTGTACAAAATTTGGCCAAATGTGGCTGTGAATGTGGGAAGCAGTGGCTAATAGACAGGGCATAATTCAAGAATAGTAAAACTTATAATAATGGTTCGTAGGTCAAAATAAAGTTTAGAATAAGAGGAATGTGAATATGAATAGTTTAGTTACTTAACAATTATACGATAAAAATATACGTTTGGTATTGGTCCATAAAAGGATCCCAAAGTTACCACTTATTATGTTTATCGGGACCTAACACCCTACTTGGACTAAGTTTCGTGTTAGTAAACACTCGTCTACAAGAGATGCCTTTAACCTTGATGAAACCGATGATTTCTAGTAGATCCAAGCACACGTCAGTATATTATAGATATGTATAACTGACGAGTTCCAGCTGGCACGAAACATGAATCTAGAGATTCCTACCGGCTACCTCCAACTACTTAGCAAACGCTTATGATTTATACTGTTCAGTCAGTATAAATATTGCAATCCTCCACATGAGGTCAGTCGCAGCCCCAGTGTTAACATATTTCTAACTGGCTAACTAGGCGATGTGCGAATTATCAGTCCTCTTAAGATTGGGGACATGAACTTGCCAATCAGCGCAATAAAGTTCGAACAGAAATCCTTCCTGATAGCTTTCAGCAACCGCGTAAAAGCACTTATTCCTCTATTAAGTCGGTCGAATAAGGACTAAGTTAAATAAAAAATTTAGTTAGACTACTTAGTGTGAAGTCGGAAGTGTTTGACATCCACTACAAACTACATACTAAGAACTAAAACTGTAAAATACGCTAATTGAATACGTCTAATATAACTGAATGACGGAGTACACATGTTCACATACATAAACTAGGTCACAAGCTTATTATGTGGACTATTGATTTTAATCGAATGTTCGGACCCACATAGGTAGAGAAAGGGGGTGGAAACTATGACTAAAATTAAGAATCTGTTAAATATAAATGTCAATTGGATATTTTTTTACCAGAATAAATTACCTGTAATCTCCAGTAGTTGATCGATTTTGCTGATTGGGTGCTTGATCATTTGTAGCAGATATACGAATTAATTCTAAGCCCAGTGCATAATCTCTGTAAAAATAGGTGATAAAATAATCAAAATACTGTCAAGTAAATTTTAATGCGAGGAGTAATTACCGCGCGTATAAGTTGTGTTGACAGACTCCAAATGACCACATAGCCACAGGTTTGTGTATTCTATTTATGGTGTACCGTACCATTAATCACTTTATTATGAACAATATTTATTGGGTGTCATATGAATTTTGCTTCCTATATATATATATATATATATATATATATATATATATATATATATATATATATATATATATATATATATATATATATATATATATATAGATAGAGAGTCGTTGTATTCTTCTAACTTATTCTGGTTAGCGTAGAGTGGGTCAGAGGCCATCAAACCAAGATGTGAGATCAGTAGCTAAAGTCATTGACTGATACTTTGAGGCACATTAGTAGGTGCTAACTATCCGTTTACGAGACCTTGAGTGAACTGTTTTGAAATCGTTCTCAATGGGCCAGATGCATTTATTCTGTCTTTACCTAGGTTCTGGGTTTTAATACCACTTGATACTTCCACTTAGCTAATCCATTCCTTTCTTTCCAAACCATATTCTGTGTACTTAATCTCTTTTTAACTATCATTTGAACTTGTATTATTTGGACTGTTTATCTAATCATCTTATTGTGTTGATATACTTCGACATCTAGAACGGTAGAACACATTTACAAGAGGTTTTACGTTGATTATATAACTTACTGACTTAATTTTTTCTTTTTGATGAAAACAATTACCTTATTTGTCGAATAAACATTTCAAGTGAAAAGTCCTGTTGGCGCTTTACTTTTCCTCAAAAATGTAGTTATATATATATATATATATATATATATATATATATATATCGAGAGAGAAAGAATGGTAGGCAAATATAGGTATATAAACGACTACCTTGGTCCACGCAATTCAATCAAAAGCTGATTATCACAATTATTATTTGGTACACTAATTTCAAATCGTGGATTAGTTCTATAACTTTCTTTGTCATTTATGCAGCCACCAGCATTTGATCCTTTCCACTCACCAGTAATCTATAATACAATTTTAAAAAAGGAAGCAAAAATATATGCAACAATCGGAAATTCAGAGAAATATTTATTCATTGTATTATTATTATTATTAATATGGAATTATGTTAGTAAGGGTATGATACATACTAATGCATATCCTTTACAAAGGTTAACTCATGAACTGATCTTAGTAAGACAATAATTATTATTACTGTTGCGAATGGCTTTATTCAATATCATATGTTAAGGACAATATGGAATTATCAGCACACAATGTTTTGACGACCTTATTTTACGAAACAAGAAAAAAATGTGAATAACTGCATACATTTATACATGAAATAAGTAAATGAAACAATCTGGAATTCAATGAATCTTTTTTAAAGCAAAATAAAAATATGCACAACTTTTCATTAGCGATATATTTAAGGATACAAGTTAGTGATTAGGTTAGCTTTTACAACCTGCTCGTCACGTAGTACATTTGCGAGATAAGTGTTGTAGAGTTTTTATATCTTTGCTTGCGTGCACGGATTTGAATGAAATAGCGTCTCGTTCTATAAGAAGATATACGAGGAGGCAGATGTAAGTGAAATGGATGGTTAGTATCTGGCAAGATTTTAAATGTCTATCCGCAATCATATACATAATAAGCCCAAAAATTCATCACAAATCCTGGTAAATGCCTTCAGCACTCTCCACAATACGGCAAAATCTTTTCTCAAAAGCCCAGGAAAGAATAATGGGGAATAGTGAAGAACAACACAATATAATAATTAAACCGTGAAAATAAATACGGAGCAATGCCAAAAACATGTGGTCTGTTTGTATAGTAATTCAAAAAAGGATTTTCCTCAATATCAATAAAGCATGAATAGATTAAGAGATCAGAAGAAAAACTTACACCAAAATAAATGACCGTTGACACCGTTTTTGTCAAAGAATATTACTACAAGCTTTTTGGGATGTTTAAGTGTTATTCATGTTTCAGACTAAAATTAACATTCTAACATGTAGAAGGATTAAGTGTGAGACCATTGTTCAATGAGAGACAAGAACTCATCCATTGTAAGGGGATGTGAAGAGGTAGAAATCGATGTGTATATAGTGAGATCATCTGTATACCTAACAAAAGTTTTTTCTGTAGATGTCACATTATGCAGAGAAATTGAGAAAAGAATAGCTTTTTTGGCACACCTTGAGTCCGTGAGAACGCAAAACAATTTCCTCCAAGCACAGTATACTGTTCGATTTCAGAGAGGTAAGAACACACCCAGTTGGTTATCCTGCTGTCGGTGTTAACGCTGGAAAATGTGTTTAGTAGTAGTAGTTTTAGAGTAGAGTCAAGAACACAAGTATAGTCTGGAAATGAAAACCAAGAAGCTGTAGAAAGCTACTTGGTTCTAGTATGGGGACTGTTTAGCAGCGGACATCCACAACACCATCAATAGGAATCGAATTCAAGACCTTCGACCCTGCGCACGAACGTTTTACGTCTATATCAGTGAGTTGGCATCAAATGGTGTTAATGTCTATGTCCTGACCAGGTTCCAGATTATATATACTGATTGTTAAATTTCCAACCAATTATTGCTAGTGAACGAATCGAGAAGACACTAGGAGATTTTTATATAAACTCTATTTTTACTATTGTATCTTCTTTACTGGAATTTTCGGAGTACGTATTTTGTTTCCTACCAATTGCTGTTTTAATTAGGGAAGAGTTGGTTGAAATATCGTGGTCATGGAATACTAAACAATGGAATAGCATTATAAACAAATAGTCCGTGTATTTCACGTTAAACGATATATGTATATAGTAACGTTTTTATTACCGTAAAAGTAGGAAAAAAATCGAATAAATTACAAACTTGATATGTAATATTCGATTAGCATTAAGGAAATGTGCGTTTTTATCAGAAGAACAAGAGACTGTGTATGCACAAACCTCCTCCATTTCGTCTAAAGCTTTTATTAATTCGCTTACATGAATGTTTTCAGCTGAGTTAAAAATAGACCGGACCAACAAAAACAATTATATACATCTAAATAACATACATTCTGTAAATGTTTGTATAAACGCTCAATATTATTTTAACAGTATAGAAATCAAATGATTTCATTTATCCAACTCGCAATACAACTCCAGAATAACATCTCACTTTTTGGCTTCTAACTAATTTTATACACAACAGTTTATAGCTTCTCATAGAAATCCATATAGCGTTATGATGAAACATATTCGAAAGGAAATTTTTTTTAAAATCACTAATTAATTGGGTTTTTCTGACCACTCCTTACAATCTTTATGATTTCACTTAAACATTATTATTATATGATCGATAAGAATGTACCACAAGATAGCAACTGGTTAAAAAACATGTATATATCATTACCAAGCTAAAATAATGATAGCTAATAACAGTTCTAACATGAAATTCGGCGTTAACATTGGATCAATCAATCTTAAATAATGTAGAAACCAGTACATATGTTCATCAGTTTAAGTTCCCATATCACATAAACACAGCCGAATGAAATTAACAAGACAAATCTTAGAGCTACTAAAGAGATGAAATATTAGTGGTAGTATAAAATACTAGGTATAGAGAATATCTATCGACTGGAATCTTCCGCATTAAGCATTTCTCTCACTGAAAGATAATGGTTGCTAACTTTCATATCCACTAACCTGGTAAAAGCGCCAGACATTTTGTCTATAAGTATAACAGCTTTGATACCCTAATACATTTTACCATCAAGCCATACGTTCATTAATTTGAAATCTATTCATCAATTGAACTCGAGGGATCGTTTCTATGGGTAAATATTACTTTAATCGATTTGGTATTTCATACTAAGCTCACTGATAAATATCATTTGAACGCTTTTAAACAATGAGTGCAACAAACTGGAAAGTCAAATCGGTAAACTTAGTTATTACGTCAGAATTAAAAATAAAAACAATACAAGGTTGGTACGCCTGTTACCTGGTCAATATTCATTGCACAAAAATGATTGCAATGAAATGGAGAAATTTCATTAAGAATTCCCAGGATCACTCTGCGCAGTTGAAATGAAACTTGTTGATAGATCTAAACAGAATAGTCGAGGTCCTCATGTTTATTTTAATTAAAAATTGAAGATGTTCAGTAATATTGTTCAGAATCAATAGCCTATGTTTCCTTTTAGACCGTCAGTTTTAAAATTGTTTACTACTTCGAGTGCTTTTATTACTTTTGAAGTGTATATAGATAATTTCACCTCTCTATGCCGATACAATATGGTCATTTGAGCTGATGTACAATAAATGCCAGGTTCTGCATTGGATTATGAATGAGTTTCACTTAGAAAAACACAACAAAGGTTATGATTTTTATAACTTACTTGTTTTGATATAGTATAGGGATCTTTGATTTTTGACAAGGTAAATGGTGCTGTTGAATATACACGTAATGTATAATAAATTGTTATTGATTTCTCATATTGTGAAATCAAAAGAATGTAATTACATGTCCCAGGATCTTGAAGCATTTTAACTAAACAATGTGGACTATTAATACGTACAGAATCGCGAAATGGTGCAGGATCATAAGGATAATAGACTTTACGAGATTTGACATCTTTATAAACAACCACTGCAATGAATTCTTTGTTTTCGGCAAAATCTGCCTTAAATATTTAGATATGAAGAACAATAAAAAAAATAAACGAGATTATACGAAGGGATCGAATGGTAAGTATTTTGATTCTTCAGTATTAGTTTAAATATTCCCTCATACAATATTCACAAGCAAAGAATATCTGAGGGAGCAATTGTTTTCAATGACTTCATCATTAGGCTCTAAAGTTATAAGTCTATAATTATTGTAATATCTTACTAAGGCCAAAATAAGGCATGCATTAATTACATTGACAATGTTAAAAAATTAGTGAACTTTTCCATCTGTTACGGGATGAATACAACAAGATAGTATTATTTATAAATTAAAGAGATTATTTGATAAAGGTTGGAATGATTCGTATTAAAATGTCAGTTTATAATCAATATAATAGTGAGATAATAAATCGTGTGAATAATGTGCGTAGTAGAAGAATTCTGTTTTGTTAATCGTGATAATAATAACAATAATAAAGTTGTGTAAATGTCATATGTAACAAGAGAGGTATTGTCAAAGTAATTACGATTCAGAAAAGTCATGTGAATGGGAAAAGTTGAATGTATAAGTTAAGAAAGATAAACACAAAAGGAATTAGGAAAGGGGATATATCATTGCGAACTATAATATATTAGACAGGTGTTTTATTCAAGTGTGCAGTGCGAACCCATGACCATATCAGGGTTTAGGAACCCATAACCCTAAGGTCTCACGGAAAACGCTTAACCGAAACAGCCAAATAAGATTGATTTGTAACGAATGCTACCTACAAAATGAGCAGAAGCATTTCAGTGTTGTCAAATAACAATAGAATGTGAAAAAAAGAGAAATGTTGTTTTTGAAGTCAAGAGAATCGAAAACGAAATGTAACACATTCACTAATTACAAAGTTAGGTACACACGGATTTTAGAGCAATGATATTTGCCTGAGAGAAAATTATAGTACTCGGCTGCGTAATTTCAAGTGAAGAGGGTCTCGAACTTGTGACCTACCACTCGTTGTATGCTTTGTATACTAAACTAGTGCTCATGTGAAAATGCAAACTCAACAAAAATCATACAGTTGTAATTATGGCATGATAATTTAGCAACTGTAAGCAAAATGGGGATAATGATGTAAACGACAGGTTTTCACAATATTTTACTATTCATTTAGAAGTACTGTCAGTGGTTACATTAAAAACAGCTGTAATTATTACTTATATTATTGGTAATCTGGACTGCAGTTGCTACCTTAAAACATGGGTGAGGACGTTAGGGGTAATAACCCAAAATAATGTTAAAATTGATTGGTATACTTGTTTGCAGAAGTTTTATCACCACTACAGCTATGTATTGCTATGATGAAACGCATTGACTGTATTTTAGGAAATTTAATCCGGATGATGGCACCATACTACAGCTAGATGAACTGAAATAGTATCCTTACATCCAGCAAGCAAAACCTCCCAACTTCCAGCCAGTAATTTTCCAGGATATGAAAGGATGCTTTGTTCTGGAGAACTATTTATTTATCACTTCATAACTGCTTAAACTCACGTTGATAATAACTTTCCCTGGTTATGCAACTGATTTTCTAGCAATAAGTTAACTACATATTTGAAGTGTGAAAAATTCCATTCTTTTTAATCTCGAACAACAAGAGTTTTTAATCTATGGTCTAGCATTGCAGTTATTATTGTGTTACTTTGCAAGGGAACATTCAAATAGGTTATGGGCATGGATGTCGAATAGAATTCATCTGACAGATTTACTTTTCAAAATGTGTGGAGATTCCAAAACAGTCAGTTTCGGATTGTTGGCACATTTTTGTAGGAGGAGGGTATCTGAAAGCAAGGTGGATGCAACACTGGATAGGGAATAATATAAATAGTTTCAAAGAGGTGAGGTTAGAAATGTAAACCACTGAGTGTCATCACAATGATTTTAAAGTAACTCGTGAAGGCCCTAGGCTCAATTTTTGACGTCATCATAAGTGAGTACAGTTGAGGGATGAGCTCTAAATTAAAACAGAATATCCATTGAATATCCCATGACTTCCTATGTTTCGTCAACTGAAGTTAATCTGTAACGTAAAATATCGTACTATTCTAATAAATATCCGAATTTCTCACTTAATCGTCGATTACAATGCTTAATAACTTATCATTATTGAGTGATCATTGAATTTTTAATTAATTATATTGAACTTACTTTATCTACAATATGTCTTGTTAAAAGCACCCATATAGGTGATTCAGTTTGGGCAGTAACTTCCAAATTATACTGTGGATTTTCAGCACTAGCGTAAGAATCTTTCTTTGGTCCAGATCCAGCAAGCCAACAACTTCATTTATTATAAAATAGATTAAAGATTAATAGGTTGGATACATTAGTCAAGTTAAGTAATTGATATTGACGACTAATTAATTATTAAACGTTTGACCAAAGTTATAGAAGCTTAGGGATAATGATTCGAAGTACTTGGAATGTACATAAATATGGACGAAAAAATTAATATGAATTGGTCAGCTTTAATTTACTACTGTTCATTCACAACCGTCAGCTAACAATAAGGGGACCGAAATTTCTATTAACCGTAGAAAAACAAGGATAATAAGTTTTGTATTATATAAAAAAAGAATGCTATAGTGTGCTTAACGTCATTCAGACTTATTGGTCATTGAGTGAATGATTAGATTTACATTTGTCTATTGACGAAAATTTCAATCCGACGAGAAGGCAGTTTCTCAAAGACTGAAGAACTGTCTTGTTAATGAGTGCTAACTAGTAAAAAATCCAAACTTAAAACTGTTGGGATGTTCTGAAAAATGTACCAATAATTATCCTGTTAAGTCTAATGGTGTCCTTGGACTTTAAATGGACATTTCCTATTGGTCAATGTTTATTTCACTTGTTAAATATTGTACAAATGTTGTCTCTATTTTATGGTACGATGTGGTCTGCTTGATTGGTATATAAACAGAGTATGTTTGAAATATAACGATTCATATCTCGGAGTCTGAGACTTGCGTTCTGGACTCAGCTGACTGGGCTAGACAGGGAAGCGGGCCAATCAGGACTCGAGGTCGTTCTTACGTGTTTACGCGTCTTTGAATCGGTCGATAATTCGCTAACCGACAATCAGCAGCATTTTCACGTTACAACAAAAACTTCTATCTTATCGCCTCTAACCATACAACATTATTTACGAGTAAGAGTAACAATTTCCCTTTGATTAATACATTTGAAAAACTTGATAACTGGATAATATCTATAATAAATAACGTTGTTGAGATGTTAAAATAAATAGCCACTTTCCTTGGAAGCAATGTTTGAATGAATATTTAAAAATAAATTACTGACCGCTGTAGAAATTAGGGGGATGTGATAAGTTTCCATGAATTTGTAGCAATTTTGTTTATCGATGTTAAACATCTGTGAGGTAATAAATATTTTTTCAAAGCAATTTTTCGTTCATTTAATGGTGCAAATATGAGCATGATTTTCACAAGAGATTTTATTTCAAAAAACTAACTTCCACATTATTTGCTTTTCATCTGGCAAATTGGTATGGGTTACAGCGGTTTGTTTATAGGACACATATTTAGATAGCTTTAGATAATTGAGATGAAATGTCTAGTAAAAATCATGCTCATATATGCTCCGCTAAATGAACAGAAGAATGTTCAAAGATGATGAGAGGACGATTCAACTAATTGGATTACAGCGCACTGCTGAGGAGTTTTATACTAGGACGAAACGGTCGTCCAGTGTTTCCAGGTTTTCATGGTGGTCTAGCTTCAATTGACTCATGATTTCAACCAGTGAAATAAATAATTATTTGTGTGAATAAAACTACCGAATATTTCCTCAATATTTATGGTCATACTCTCAAAATTTATAAATTAAGGTACAGGAAAAAAAGCACAATCGGTTTAATGGCAAACCACTCTTCTTATTTCTTAAGTCATTTCAAATAAAACTCCATTAATTACAGTGTGTAGACCTTCTTATAATAGTGTTACTGATATAATGAAAAGCCTTGAAGTAAAATGAATTCAGATTATTTTGTAAATCCTATTTATCTCGCCTTATTGAAGCCATATTATTATTAAGTTATCATTAGTGTGAGAGGATTGTGGAGATTATTGTGTTTTATCATTCACGTCATGGAATAATCTTAGTTGGACAACCTTTGAAAACTGAGAAGCACTAAACGGCTGTGCCGTCTCCCTACAGGACTCATCAGTGGTGTACATCAACGATGCCACTGTGGATCAGCCTCAAGACCGGAAAGTAATAAGTCGGTATCTGATGATTCATATCATTAGCTTTAATCAATTTGAAAATTAGTTTGGTTCTTCATCTCAATAAAAAAGTGGCAACTGAATTTTTAATTACAATTATACATTGCTTAGACCTGTAAATAATACATGACAATATAATTGAATAGAAAATTTATTAAAATAAAGCCTCCATTTTATGTGAATTCTGCAGAATCACATTCACTATACATTAACACTAAATATACAGGTATTTAGTGTTATATTTGTACGTGTTAAAAGTATCCTACCTTTATGTACCATACACGGATAGGCACAAAGTCAAATAAATAAGAATTAACTAACCACTTCAAAAATATCTATTGTGACATCCAATATTTTTGTTTTAATTGCACTTGTTAGCCATATATAGTCTAACTTAAATAAACAGCTTGTAAGTATTAAAATTACTATGCATGATGTTATTATTGTGAATCTGTTCTTTTTTATACCAGGGAGACAAGGGGTAAATGTGCTGGAAGAATACGAACAAGCCTTGTGTAAATTGAATTTGTAGAATTAGGTATACAGTTATTTTGTAAAACAAAGCCTTCCTTTTTGTTTGATGACCGCGTAATTTAATTTTTGAAAATATAGGTCGTATTGGTACACCATGTTCTCTTTTCTCGAATACTCAATGACTCAGATTTGTGTGATGCTTTTTTCATGTACTTCAATTAACGTTGATTACACACATTATAAGCCATTAGTATCCATGATCATATAATACCTAATGTACACATCTAAGTGAACGGATTGACCACTCTTGTGTAACTAGAAAAAAAACTTACGTTATCGGATTCACACACAAATTATTTTTCAAACACACATAGGCAGCTTATTGGTTAGATCAGTTGAGTTTTAGATCGCAGGTTCAAACGATGGCCTTTATCTATTTCGGTTTAAGCTGCCAAATAGTATTACTATGCCCCATATTAAAACTGTAACTGAAAGTCGGGTATGTAAACTTGTACTAGGTAAACAATTCATACCTAAACACAAGTAATTTTCCAACTTAAGGATGAGAATACTACAGCACAGACTTTATAGGTATCAATGCCAAGGTAGGACCTGATAGTTTCAAATATATTGAGAATTAGATAGAAAGTTATTAATAAATATACTTTTTGTTATACTCCAATAGTAGAAAAATCGTATTTCTGATTTTTCATGACTTAATGTAGGTCACTTCTTCAGAGTAAATAAATGACCGAAATTAACAAAATTCTAAATAGCGCAAAGGAGACAATGCAGAATATTCTTAGTACAGTCGAAACCATAATAGGTCTGAATATGCCAATGACCTGTCACTATTCATTTGTGCCTCAGAATGTGGGTATGAAAAATGTTTGCATTTGTAATATGAAATAGTGGGGTTGAAATTAGGCGTATGTGTGAGTAGATCGTGTGGAAATAAACTATGTCAAATGTGGCTGTTTGGATAAACAATCCAGTCTGGATGAATATTCAGGCCTTCTTTCCTATCGAGGGCAGTGGGGTTTAGTGTTATGTGAAACGCTCCGGTTACTGGCCTCTCTCTTTATCCGAATAACCACATTTGAGTAAAAAAGTGGGAGGAACCTAATGAGTAACAAACGATTTCACAAAAGCAACTTACTCATTAACACATGTAGTATATTGAAATAGTCCTGGATCCCAATTAATATAAAATACATCAAAGAAATGACATAAAGAATCATAATCTATCCAAAATACACCATTATCAATTAACTGTGCAGATGATCTATCAAAATTCAGCTTAGCTTGCATACTGGGGGTCCAGTGTTTTGAATCACGTTCAGAGAAATTACCTTTCCAACGCATATGACTCCATGGATTTTTCAGTAAAAATAAACGATAACCCTTTTTTTAAAAGCGATTAGTGTTTTGTTTTTTAAACAAAATTTATGTTGTGGAAAGGGAAACAAAACATATATAAATAGAATTACAAACTTGGTGATACAGTTATCACATGGATTTCAATAAAGTAATGATAATGATCACAATATTTAGATTCATATCAGTGGAAAAAATCGATCACATATCAAGCATCATTACAATTTGTAATATAATTACCCAGATGATTTGTATGACAGTAAGGTTTTATTCATTTCCTTCTTTTTAAAAATGTTGGAAAATAAAAGGATTCCACCTATTTAGTAAGAAAAACTACTGGAAATAATTGGACGAGAACTAATTCAACTATCAGGTAGGGATTCACTTACACGGCTTCGAGTCACAGTTTATTTGTCCCCACCAATAATGCTACTACGCATTTGGCTAAACGAAGTAGGTAAATTAAAGTTCGAACCTGGAACTAAGTAAATGTAGACTGAAAGGCCTCAGCAACTGCTTCACATTAGGCAGTCATACGTTAAAAGCGCTTGTTTTCGTTCGATCACCAACGTTCATTAACAAATAGGGTGCGATTAGCACTGTGAAGAAATTTTTTGCTAGTGGAACTAATTGACTTTTAATCATTGCATTGGTGACTTAAAAACCTCATTCGATTTGGATACACCAGGTAATACCACTAGGTATGATCATTGGGAGCGTCCTCTCACTCTTTCGAAAGCCTTTCATAAAGTCACGCATTTATGGCCTTTATCAAGGAAGACCTGCTCACTGCCTACACGCCGCGGTCTGTTTTCTACAAAGTGAGACAAATTGAAGAGAATGTCTTAACAACCATTTATACAAAATTACAAAAGTTTTGTTAGTATCGATCTTCCGTTTGACTAGTCAAAGATGAAGTTCCACAACTCCAAATAAGAGACCTCGTCTGGGCTTTATAAACAATGATTTTTCAATTAGAATATTAATTTACAATTCTTATTACTGCAGTTATGTCAGTAAGTCAGCTACAACGTAGGACCAGGCAAATATGTGCATCCATCCAAGTTGCCATATCTCATTAGCAGTTATATCATCTCATATATTTATTTTAAAAAGCAAAACTTAGAATCTTTCCACAAGCATGTTTGGATTTGTTGGATTTTCATCAGACGAACAGTTTGTTAGTCAACTAACAGTTTTTTTGTGAGAATTATAAGTTAATTCATCATGAATGACATGACTTATAAATATAGTGGCAGTGGAGTGAATGCAGTTACTTTTTATCGCACATTAGATGTTGATTTTCAAAACAACACAGTAAATTCATTGGTCAATTTCGAACTACATCCTCTATGTTTAGTCTTGTAATTATTGATCACATCTGTCGGTTGTTTAGTTAGTTTCAACTGGATATATTAATGTGGTGTGATGATTTGTGTTGATATATATTTGTATGAATTTTCTCATTGTTTATGATCGACTGGTTGATTGAGAATCGCTGAATTACAAGTCATTCATTATACAATTACTTCGGAATCACTCAAATTTGATATCGCACTGAGTCAGTCACATTTTGATATTATAAGTAGGATTATAGAAAATTGCAACAATTAAAAAAAATACTCCTAAAATATGTCTGTCAGTTCGGGTCGAATAAATGAAAGGAATTCTTAGGACTATTTTATGGGTGACTATTAAGTAGATTTTTATTATTCTATTAAATGTCTGGATTGTAGTGTCTTTATACTACTTTTATAGTACGTTTCCACTTCATTTATAAACTGTTATTGGATGTTTCATCGTTCCTTAATTATCATTAATTAAAAATGAACCTATTGCTCAGTTTTGTAGTACATGTGAATTCGTTGTGTACAAAATATATAGTAATCCACGGGTTTTTGAGCCAGGATAGCAAAAAAGACAATATTAACATAAAAGGTAATTCTGCTTGCTGTTTTTAGCTTTTGATTATCCATTTAGACTAGTAGGGAGTTGTGGACAGATAGACATTTCGCAGTCATTATGTTATTAGTTTAACAGAATGTCATTGATCAGGCAAGTAAACATAAGTGGATTTCTACTATCAAATGAATTCGATAAAGTAGGCAATATACAGAGTTGTATTTATAACAATTTCAAATGATAAGCACATACCTCCACCTCACGTATATCTAACATAGCATAAGCATGAGTTGGAACTAAACCTGACCGTTCACTCTCATCATCGGATAACTGTCCAGTTGCAATTGTAACTAGACAGTGACCTTTATGAAATCGACTTAAAAGACGACGAAATTCTCTATCTTTATCAAAACTTGTAGAACTAGATCGAATGGAGATACGTTCAGGAATCCAACCAGTCAACGCATGCAGATCAATATTCTGTTGAATATCAAGAAAAAGAAAAAGAACCCGTAAACAAATTTCGAGTGAAACTCACCATAAAACAAACGTATTTTCAAAGAAATGAGTATGAGCACATGTGAAATGTATGATTATTTGAAGATCAAGTGTACACATCGAACGAAATCTTGTTTTATTTGGAAAGTAAACATATTACACATGATTTTTATGTTGTATTACGAAGTGATTTCAGTTAAACAACTATTGGATACCAGCAAGCATTGAATAGCTTTTCCATCCTAGTATGGAACACCTCGAAAGTGCCCGACGACTAAAAATCGGGTCACATCAAAGACCTAAAGGTCTCTCAGGTAGGCCATTGAGCTAGCAACAAATAGTGGATATATCTAACTTTAACTCATCTGCGAAACTGTGTAACTATCTTCCAGTTCCATTGGTGGGGAATTGTCTAACATTCAATATGGTTAAACTCTACTGGACACGTCTTGTCAGAACGGGAAGAATTTTATGAATAACGGAGTCAAACAAAAACGAGGAACAGATTTATGTAAGTAACTGGTTTTTGTTACGCGATGTCTGATCACTACAATCAACTGTAGAACACCGGATGACTCTCTCGTCAGATGTGAAGCTACTAATTATTAGCGTGCAACCCACGGTTCGAATACAGAACTTTCATGTGTCGCGATGCATGTTTAGTATTTCAGACTATTGAGTTTGAAATTCGATGGTCTATACTTTCAACTTAAATCAATCACGGAAATTTATTTATGTAATCACATAAATCCTGGTACAATAGGAAATCAAGAAAATGTGCCAAAGAAATGAAACGATAGTATGTATGAAAAAAGAAGAGACGGATAGTACAATCAAGAAAAAGATAAATTAACGATAATGAGCGACAGTCAGAGTCGTTAATCAGTAATTAACTCACCCTAGACATGATCACATCAAGAATGTCACTAATTTTGTGCACTGAACGAATATAAAATACATACAAATATCATGTTTTAAAGGAACAATGATCAGACGGAGTTGATATGAGAAATATGATGTATTTGTGGCGCACATTTCGAACAGTTTGATCACACATACTTGTCAAGACATCTTACATGAAAACTAATGAATGTCAATTAAATTAAAGTTCAAACAAATATTAATTTTCACTGTGGGGTTTTGAAAACTGTTGTATTTTATAAAAATCATGAACTGATCTGAGTTTGACTAATACCTAAAACCTAGAAGATTTAAGCGGTCGTTTTGTTCTAGTATGAGAATCCTCGAGAGTACGCACCCACGAACCTGCAACCGGGAATCAACCCCAAGAACTTCGACGTCACACGAGGATGCTTCCCGTTTTTGCGGTCTTGGGTGGGCACAGCTAAAGATTCCCATGCCGGGACGAAACGGTCATCCAGTACTTCCAGGTTTTTATTCATCGTCTTACTCAGATCGGTTCGTGATTTTAATAAACATAGGGTGATAATTGAAAAAAAGGAGGGAAAAAACTAATATCATATGAAAAGAATAGGAAATTGTCACATCGCTCTAGCTTGTAAAATGACGTAAGGTTCACCAGAAAAGACAAATAGTTTTCGTACACATAAAGGATGTTTGGATTTGCTAACACCCAAGGCTTTTATAAACCCAGGAACTCGCCCTTGACAATTTCTGCCTAACTTTCTAAAAGCTGTATTGACATCAATTCTCGTTTCAATTATATGCTTTGCTATTGATGAACATGGTTTCCTACTTATTTTTATCGAAGTATTAGACACTAGTTTATCCTGAGGCCATTTAGACACATGTTGTATAACCCTTGATTGCATTGTTCGATGAATCCTCCGTAGGTATATGCGTCTGTACAAACATGCAGATTGATAAATTCAGTGAGATGTGACGTAACCACCTGTGCAACATCTAGGTTCGTATAGAATCATGAGCTTAGTCAAAACCAATTTAGCAGTACAATATAATTTCTCAATGGTTGCATTTAGTTTGTTATGAAATTATACTGTTCGACTTTTCTCGACATGACAAAGAGATAAAAAACCTTTTCTCTGTAAAAGAATTAAAAAGGCATTTTGGTATTAACCGACTTTTACACCAATTTGTAAACTTCGTTTAACCATTTAGTATCAACGTTTCGGCTAGGAGTTTTGTATCTTTTTCAAAAGCATCTGCAGTGCATATTCATTGAGTTTTGTCAGAGGCACTTTGCCACGCCTCAGTTGTGGTGCAGAAAACACAAAGTGTGAGAATTCAGATATTGCCAAGTCTACGTTGGCTTCTTATAAACTGAACGTTTTATAGTTACATCCTCTCCGGATGAAAAGTATGTCTAAATTAGAGAGTAACTTATTATTTTTTTCGTCATAAGTACGATATCATTCTGCACGTTATCGAGTCTGTCCAATAAAATTGGGCACACAAAGTGAACGCCTTATAAGTGCTTCACACTACCCAACGTTGCATCTAAAAGGAGAATGGTAAACAACTGGTAGCTTAACGCAAGAGCATCCCATCGACTCTGGACACGTTGCTCGACCGAATTTCATCTTTAAATATAATCTACACGGCCAAACGAGTGAAATCAAACAGAAGTAAAATTAGAAAGTTGTGAACCGTTCAAGTGTTGGTAATTTACTAATTTGATCTTGAAATCTGTATGCGAAAGCAACATATACAAACAAATATTATATAAAATGAATTAGTAATTGAACATTACCGAATTTGATCCTGGGAAATCATATCCGCCCATCACTTTCATATAAGCTTTTTCTAATAAAGATACCCATAATTCATTTTGATTATTTGAATAACAACATAGCAGCTTTCCATCCTTTCCCATTGGCAAAAAGTCATCTATAATTACCTAGATCAGTTAGGCACATATATATTGCAAAATTGACTAAGATAGATTATTCATGTATACAAGAGTTCTATTTAAAAAAACGATTAAGTTGAAAAATTATTTGTCGTTTATCGCCAATTACAGGTTTATGTACTTGGCTTTGAATCATACTGTTTACACAAGGGGAAGTGAAACTACTTATTACCTAGTTGCTCAAATAGAAGTGAGGTGTATTGTTCAAACTTGGAATATACTAGTTTAAATTCAAACGATTCAGTCCGATAACAAAACACATCAAGCAGTAGCATTTATGTAAATTAACTCATAGGATACTGTCGCACATCAACATAAGAAGTTATGATCTAGACAAAACTATGCCGAAAGTGGAAAAGAACAGAGGATAAAGGTGAATGAACAATTAGTCATAAAAAAGAAATAGTAAAATGTACGGCAGTAGTTCGTGAGTCCACTGAAAATTTACAATAAGGAGAATATAGAAATACAATAATACAGTAATTTGATAATTAGACAATAAAAATACTAGTAATCCGTAAAGCAGTTCCAAAAGTCCTGATGTCCTCAACATATGTCAAGTTATAACAGATCGGTTACATCGCCAAGTCGTATAGTGTTTATCAGGACAGTGAATCATAAAAATCACCAAGTTGACAAATACATTAAAATATTTGGACAATTATGAACTTCTAACTTAATTGTATACTAAAAGAATATCTGTACGTCATCTAAGCGGGAATTTTCACAAACTAATGTAAATATTGGGATAGTACAAGGCAATAGTATTGAGAGTTTAGTGCATCCAAATTAATTTTCAACATTTACACTTAAGTATGTATTCACAAAGTAAGTGTTACGGTTGGAAAACTGGTAACAATAAATTAAGGAGTTTTTTATCCTTTGAAACACAAATTAACATAGAAAGTTTTTTTTAATTACTGTATTTTTGTACAGAATTTGGAGCAACATTGAAGATAACAATATGGTCGATATGTAAAAAGTGTCTGGATTCCTATTGACGAAGTAATTACAACCATCAATAAATTTTCACTTCCTCATGTATTGTACTGTTGATAAAAAGGATATTGATGCGTAAATATGCTCGTGATATAGAATTACATTATAACAGAAAAATAGACGATGGTTTGTTATTCAGATGATTGTAGACATGGGTAACATGGCCCAAAGTCGATTAATGTTGCTGTTGAATAGGATGGACGTGACGGGTATTCATCTCAATAACTTCATTTCGTTGTGTTGTGAAAGCCTAGATAGACATACGTTTATGTGCCACTCTTTACGTTGAATATGACTGAGTCCCAAAGTAGTACAACAAGGTACAACAACCGAAGAATGAACAAATTGTTTACTTCAGTTTTCTACATTTCAATTGTATAAAAGCTAGAAGACTAATATCATTGATCGATGATTGAAAAAAAAACTTTAAACATGTTAGAAAGATATAAAACTTTGTAAACAATCCACTAAGATAAATCATTTTGCATTGTTAATAATTTAAACCTCATATAGTTGCATGCAAGTATTATTTCACAGATTTGTTTGCTGTTGACCTGCCTCCAGTGACATAAAGGTAGAGAGGTCGATTGAAGTATTACTAATTGCTAGTTTATATTCCAGATAAATCTGGTGAGACTAGAATTTATGGACGACCTTTGAGCTAAGTTAGACTGACCTTGAGAGTCTCCACCTAATATCTATGATCAAATGAAGGTTCTAAACCTGTGTAAGGAATTAGAATTATGTTTTACAGTTGATAGTTAACGTTAGGAATTAGATTTAGGGTTTTCATCACGAACTGACATCAGCTATAATGCCAAAACTCTATTTAGCCAAATAGATGGGTGAATTTAGCGCCTAAATCCGAGACCTCTTATCATATACCTGATTGGTTCGTCCATATATTATAGTCTCGCCACAAATTTTAGTTAAACAACCATTGAGAACTAGGTAGCACTGAGAAGCTGTTTCATATTGGTACTACACTAAACAGTAGTGTGCATCGACGGCATTATTAAGGGTCGAACCTAGGGTCTTCAGGTTTCATGACGAGCGCCTAATCTTTAAACCACTGATTGGTTATCCAATAATTTTGTATTCCAATCACAGTTAATGATATTTTGTGATTACTATCCACTCCTGTTAATGATATTTGTTTTACACTTAACATGACTTAGGAAGTCTGATCAGCCCTAATGGGTTGGTATCTGACGAAATCTCAGCACGGATTCGAAAAGCTCGATTGGCTTTTGCCAACTTACGTCACCTATGGCGAAGGCGAGATATTCGTCTATCAATAAAAGGACGAGTATACTGCGCGGCAGTCCGTTCTGTTTTAATTTACGGCAGCGAAACATGGCCATTAAGAGTAGAAGACACTCGTAAGCTACTAGTATTTGACCACAGATGCCTTAGAAATATTGCTGGCGTCTGCTGGGATCACCGGGTAAGTAATAGTGAGGTTAGACGCAGGGTATTAGGGAATGATGGTAAATCTGTTGATGAGGTTATGAATCTTCATCGACTGAGATGGTTGAGCCACGTGTTACGTATGCCCGAACACCGATTACCACGACGTGCAATGCTATCCGGTATTGGAAATGGTTGGAAGAAAGTTAGGGGCGGCCAAACCAAAACGTGGCATCAGTGCTTGAAGTCATTAACTTCTAGTCTGAGCCATGTTGGTAGATGCAGACTACTTGGTTGGGGTCCGCGTGACTATCGTAACCAATGGTTGGAGACTCTTGGTGACATGGCTCAGAATCGATCACAATGGCGTAGGTGTATATACTCCCTGTCTTCCCTTAAACTAAGAGATTAAAATCGCTTCATATCTTTCTTTCTACGAACTAATTCTTTCTTCTTGTACTATATCTCTATATGCAATCTTTCTCTTAAATATTACTACCTTTGACCTAACCACTGCTATGAATCCGGTGTTCATCTTGTTGTGCTGATGCAGTATGGCAACCTGGACCGATGCACATATGTGCCTGGTCCTACGTTGTAGCTGACTGACTAACATGACTTAACTAGGGGCAATTTGTGATGTAAAACTATGTGATCTATAGAACCTATTTAATTTCAAGTTATTTCTCATCACGGATTGAGATTAGTTGAACCAACTATTGGAAATCAAGGAACGTACTCCATTTCAAACTAATTAAAAACCAAACAATTCACTGTTAATTATTAACATACCTTTCGTGGAACTCCATTGAAATTTAAACGAACCATGTATTTTCCACATGGATTATAAATAGCTTCATTAGTTATGCCTTGAGGATATATAACACTGTAAAATAAGTCGTTTTATTTTTTATTTAAAAACAAAATTAATGGAATTAATCGTATCATGAATAAGTGAATTGATAACATTGTATTCTATAAGTTGGAGATAGTTGAAATCGCGATGTTTTTGTAGTCATTTTGAATAACATTGCTAGGTGCTTAGTTTCCTATTAGAAGTTGGTCACAGAACAACAAAAACCCGTTACAGTTAAAGTATCCAGTTCGAATGCTTTAACTATTGAGACACCACCTCATAATTTTGGGGTGATTTTTATACAGTCATAATTTTGACCTTATTACTGAGTGTCACAAATATCTTAGTTGTGTGTAACCTACTGAAATTTATGCTTTGGTTCTGTACTTCTATTACGATTCACCGTGTCCGATTTATATACATACGCTTACTGAACTATCTACGAGATTGTTGGTGATAACTAGGATATAATATTGTTAACAACTACATGAATAGGTACACAAATCACTGGTAAATATATAATTTATAATGATAATTTATATAACATATAATTCAATTGAATCATGATCTCAACTATTGAAAATATATAATTGTCCGTCTGATATGTACAAAGGCATATAGACTGGGACCTTAGCTGGGAGGATAATTCGTTGCCTCCAGTAGAGCTTACCATTTATGATTATTCACTCACTATTTAACCTTGAGATGGTATTAATAAAAATAATGTATATATAGGAAAACTACGTTTCTAATTTTTTTGACGTTTCGTCACTTAGTATTAGCCCTTTCATCGGAGAATAAATAAAAAAGTCAAATTTTTAAGGTATATGTCCGGGCACCATAATTTGGAGAATACGATTACTCTTTCCTATGTATGTGTTGCCACACATTTAAATTGATAAACACAATTGGATGTGACGCAATTGTCTTCACATCTTTTAAGTTTTTAGTGAAGTATGGAGCATAAAATGATGGAAGGGTCATGACCTATTATAGCAGTAAAGCCTGTCTACATTACTTAACCTTTAGAGGTGATTCAATTAATCTTTTATTGAAACAAAAGCTTGAATAGGTTATTAACAAGACATGTTGCGCAGAAAAGGTAATTATCAAGGGAAAATCAAGGTCCATGAATCCCCAAAAGCTTAAAAGATATGGAAACGATTGCGTCACATCCAAATGTATTTATCAATTTAAATGTGTGGCCACATGTATTCAAAAATAGTTCACACCTTAAATTTATCTTGGTAATGCTATTCAGGTTTAAAATTGTTATTTATATTATTTTCTTAATTATCCTTGTCTCCTCTTGCCCTCCATTTCTAGTCGATTTGACCTTTTATGTTTATATATAAATGTTCTTAACAAATATATGTTCGAAATGTATTGCGCTAACATACCACATAGCTCTCATAATCTTCGTCTTCTAATTACACTAACCAAATTAAATGTTACAAAGGAAGAATAGATGTGCGATCAAAACTCAGTAAACAGTTAAACTACACGACATAAACAAATCTAAACATAATTGTGAGTCCTTATTTAATTGTAATCAACTACAGAGTTTGAGAATTACGTTTCAGCTATATCTAAGAGCGTTAGTTGATATCTCAAAACAAGTGTCAATCTTTCAACTGAGATTTCAACCCAGTACACAAATGAAAAATATGAACAAGTTGGAAGAAGAAAAGTTAATTTCGAATATTTGATTGTGTTATAACGTTGAAGATGACTAAACCATATAAACTCAATCAATCAAAATCGAACCATTTAATCAATAATTAAGTCATAATAAAAACAATACAAAGTAGCAACAGATGAAGAAACAAACTGAAAACGTTGACAACACAAAACAGCTTATTATATATATGACGCGTAAAAGTATGTCTGCCTGTCTATCTACATTCACTAGCCAGTCATGGCTTGCTTTCGTTGAACGCATCATATGGTCTGTCATTCTAGTGATTTTTACACTGCAAAAAAAAACAAGATACAATGGTAAAATACGAATAATTCAGAACAAGTAGCTTTTTTTAGTGAATAGTCAAGTAATATCTTACTTTGTAATGAGCTTTTTTTTAAAACGTCGTTCATATTGAGCAGCAATCGCCATCGATGCTACAAATGAACAATCAGTAACTACAGTTTGGCATATAGAAAAGCAAGATATTGCCAAAATCATTTTTGGTCCATTAATGTAATCAGAAGGACGTACCCAACGGCTAAGTAAAGATTTCTGTTTATTTGACAGTGCTAAAAGTCCATCTTTATCACTTTGAAAAGTAGCAATAGAAGTAGGAAATGAAGAAAACAAAACCTTGTGAATGTTAAATAAAATCTTGAAAATGAAATGTGATGTTCTGTAACAAACAAAAACAACTAAGGATGATGAAAAGATAAACTGATTCTAGGAGTGAGGACATGAAAACTTGTTCGTAAATATCAAGAATGATACACGGGGAAAGAAAAACTTAAAGTACATCTTGTGTTTAATAACAAATATAAAAACTTTCAATAAATTTGTGTATTATGCTTTCAAAGATTGTGGCAGTTGAATGTTATATGAATACCTAAACCATAGTGTGGTGGTTTGATGGTTAAGGGACTCGATTTTCAACCACTAGGTCGCTAGTTTGAACTATACGACATATAATTAAATTGAGTAGCCGGGTTGTATCGCTATTTCTCATATACAATGAACAACTCAAAGTTGAGTACACAGTTTCACAATTTGTAAATAAGAAATAGAAGTGTGTTCCGGATCGAAACCCTGGTTGTTGAGGGATAAACGATCGGATAAATGAGTGACAGTAAAACTACTACACTGAATTAGTACATCTAGAAGATGTGATGAAAAACTTGTTAAATAGATGTTACTAAATAGTTAAGTAATAAAGGTCGCTAGAGGATAAAGACAGAATTTTCCGGCAAATAGTTGAAGTAATCTTCGAATTTCCCAAACTGATTAGTAGCCTTTATTATGATTGAATTAAATTCAAACATTCCAGAAAGAACACCACTTATACCAACAGCAATTCTCGTTTCAAATGTAATACATTATTTCTAGTTGGCCGTTTTTAATATCGGGTGACTAAAGATAGCTAAGCTTTTATTATGAAAGAATGAGGAGTTGTAGCTCAGTTGTATGCTTCTGGTTGTATTGTGTTCTCTGGGTGAGCTAAGTGGTTTAGTTGGGAATCCTTCATTGTCGTTATAGATAGGATCAGTCCTCAGTTTGCGTACAAAAGGACTATTTGATAAATGCAGTTGGTATAAATATGGGTTTAATTACTAGCACAAACTGAAGTATAACACAAAACCGTTGAAACCCAACAAGTACATAATAATTTAAATGATATGCATCTTCAACTACATCTATGATGAATTTATTAAATGAGAAACCCAAAATGAGCACATTGCCCCTGGGTCACCAGACTGTAATCGAAGTGTTAGTATTTACCGATTTCAGTCAACCAACAATATAACACGGCCATCATCTGACCCTATCGGCTAGCAACTGTTTTTGATTATACTGCCTGACCAAAAACAAAATTACAGATTACCAAAACATTAAAAACGCGTGTGTATAGTTGGAGGGACCCAAAGTGAGATGAAAAAGCAGTGGTTTTTTTTTAGCTAATGGTAATTTCAGACAGATATTGTACTCAGACCAATCAGATTCTTTACAAACCGTATTGTTAACCCAATTATTTAATAGTGGTAGGTGTAGAAATGAATGTACGGGAATTCTTTGAGTCGACGCTATTGTACCGTAAACCAAACTGCCAACTGTATGGATGCGGTTACTAATTATTTGAAATGAGAAGGGTATTACAGCCATTTACAAGAAGTTTGCTCACAACCTAAATGTAAGTAATAAAGACTAAAATAAATTTGGACAAAAGATTTGTTAACTTTAATACTTGTTAGCTAAGCAACCAAATATTGTATCTATTTCACTTAGAAGTATGGATGAATATAAAGTAACCAAGGGAGAAATCAGTTAAATAATACTCTATTATCTTAGGTTTAACTGTTTCTAAGTGTACATTTTCCTTGGACCTGTGACAACTTGAGCTAACATGCTACTGTATAAGGCCCTGAAATTATTTAGTAATTACACAACATTCAAACAAGATCCATGCTAGATATCAGACTTAATATTTAAAGCTTAGTATAAAGTATGGTTAACTATAAACATATAGAGCATAAATCAAATGTAAATCAAGAAAACTCGTTTGTAGACATGGACCATGACTTACACAAAAGGATTAGCAAAGGAAAATCGTTCTTGTAGATCAAGGGCGTCAAGAAACGGTAAATACTCACGACCATTTATAACGGACGTGGATCTCAATACCTCCAGTTCTTCGACAGTGAAACCGCCAGGGTCTATTAAAGAAAACGAGAAATCGGTTGATATCAAGTCTGAATATGATCAAATTTATGGAATATGTAGTATAAAAATCTTAATTTGGTTGAGACAGAATTCTGATCGCTTTTTTAGCGGCAACTGATTGCACTGAAGGCCTAAGTAATGTACAGGCTCCTAGTAGAAATGAAGAATCAAGACTTAAGAAACAAGATGGGTGACTATATCAAAGATCAGCTATACCGTCATTATAAAGTGTGAAAACTTCTAAGTAAAAACAAAACGAAAATGAGATAACATAGTTTCATCGCTTAAACAACACGGTTCTTAATCGAAAGATACAAGAACTACTGTTAACTTTGTGTCCACATTTATTTATTTGTTTAAACACATAAACACTGGTACAAGGAGGCACCAAATAGATGTGCACCACATAAATCATTCGATTTATGTAAAGGTTGAGAAACTGCCTGGGTGCCCAAACCAAAGCAGGTGGTTTTTTTAGACGACCACACCCGGAGCCTTTGACCTAAAGGTTTAATCCACAAGACAGTGGAGCAACATCAGGAGATGCAGTCCCATGGTAGCCGGTAACCAACGATTGGTTATTACGCCATTTGTTCCCTCAGGATTCTGGAGCCCACGTGCATCATTGGTTTGGAATCAGGGTCTTCCAACTCACCTAGGTGGATCCTCCATATCCACCAACCCGGTTAAAGCGCTGGATAATCGCTTTTCGTCTTCTCAATTTTGTAAAAAAAAAGCACCCGCACCGCAAGAAGGTAGTGAGTAGGACTTCCTTGGCAGTGGTTGTATGCACGTGGCCATTTGAGAGTATTTCAAGCATTCTGATGATATTTTTCAGTGTGTTATAATCGAATAATGGGCTTGATATGAAATACTAAATCGATGAAAGTGGCTTAGCTAAGAATTATTTACCCATAGAAATGATCCCTTGATTTCAAACGATGAATAGATTTCAAATTAACGAACGTATGGCTTGATGGTAAAATGTATTAGGGAATCAAAGCTGTTATATTTATAGATAAAATGACCGGCACTTTAACCGGGTTGGTGGATCCACCTAGGTGAGTTGGAAAACCCTGATTCCAAACCAATGGTGCACGTGGGCTCCAGGATCCTGAGGGAACAAATGGCGTATTAACCAATCGTTGGTCCCCGGCTACGATGGGATTTATGTGGCACATATCTATTTGATGTCTCCTTGTACCAATGTTCATGTGTTTAAATAAACAAGTAAATGTGATTAAAAAATTAACTGTAGTTCTTCAATCTTTCAATCCACATGAAATTCCACAAAATAAACTACAAAAATCAAAAAACGGTGAAAATGTGAAGATATATTTACATCGACGAGTCAATAAGTAAAAAATATGAGCTACGTATTGTTTGGAAAGGTTTTCCATTGCGTTGAATTTACGTAAATGTCTTAAAAATTCTTGATGTCGTACGGTCTACATATTAACAGATTATTTTAAGTAACAACCAATAGTTACTTCATGGTTAGTTCAGTCACAAGTTATTTGATCACGAGAATCAATCGAGATTTTTCGTAAATCACGCTATAGTTAATAATAAAGATAGCTAACTTGAAAATGTAAAGTTAATTATTATAATCGATGACAAAAAGGCAACTGTGCTATCATCAAATTAGATGGTGAGTTTCATATTTTTTCCATTTGGTTAGCTATAAGTGTTTCGTCAGGTGCTGATTCTAAATGTATTACTGAAAATAACGGCCAATTATAGGTAAGAATAGTAACAAGCTAAAAAATTTAAAAAACCAACCTCCTTTCAAAGACGAAGACATATTGGGTTTATGAAAACCGTGGGATTTCTTAGATGCTCCTGACGTTAAAGTGCTACAAGAAGAACGGGAATCAGAACAAGGAGGCTGTGTTCTTTGAACATATGCCTTTAATTCTTCTGCCCTAGAAAGCTGGAATTAATTAAATAATATTTTAATACCGATCTAAACCCCTTTTGGAAAATGTTTCAATGGATTTAAGTAAAGAGGGATCCTGGACATCACGTTTCTATGCACATTTAATTAACTAAATCCAGAGGATTTACTATGGATAACATTAACTCTACAGCCAATGTGTAGAGCTCAAAAGCCTTGTGGAAGTTTCCTTTTTCATCTTCCGTAGTACCATCATCCAGTAAGAAAAGAGCCCTTGCAAAATCAGCCTGATGCATTAAATTAATCACAAATGTAACCAGACTTTGCTTTTAGAAATATGAGAGTTCGGTATGGAAGTATCTTCCACCACAGTTTTTGATTTGAGTTCTTTCACTTTGTTGTTGTAATTCTGAGCTAATTCTAATAAACCTTCAGTTTTTGAGCCTGCTTCCAAAGAATTCAAGAGTGCTTGAGCAGCTTCCTAAAAGTGTTAATGATTTAATCAGCCATCTACAGTGTAGTAAAATACAGCAGATCTGTATTGTTTCCGAGACTCTTCCCACACTGCAAGTCTTTTGAACCAATCGGCATCTTTCTCCAACTCATGAGGATTAGCCATTGACTAATCCAATCACCCGATAGAATGCTTCTTTTAATCAAAACACGCAAGTGTTCACCACTAGATAAATTACCTAAAAGACAATACGAAGAATAATAGGAAGTTTGAAGAATTATTGTGGATGTGAAATCGAATACAACGTATAGGGAAGAAAAGTGATTTTGAAATTTATGTATTAATTTACTGAGGTTTTAGCTTAGCAAGTTCTGTTCAATGAATTTCAGTCGCATTAATTTACTCTGCATTCAGTTAGTTATTTGATTTTTAATGGACTGTTCTTGTAGTAATCTATTTACTGTAACTTTGTGTTCAGTGACAGTTGTTCAAATAATGAAATTCGGTAACTAACAAATATAGATTATCGGAAGGGGTTTTGTGGAGATTTTAGATATTTCACTGGTTGAAATCATGAGTCAATTGAAGCTAGACCACCATGGAAAACCATGAAGCACTGGACGGCCGTTTCGTGACTGACTTTAAGAGATACTCCTGGAGTTCTTGTGAGAAGCCGTTACCAGTAGAGTTCAACCAGGTCGGTTGTGGGATATCAACTCACTGAAGAAAATGGTGTACGGTGGCGCAACTTCATGGATTGGTTGAAGTTAGACATTAACACCGTTGGATGCCGGCTCAGTGGTCTAGTTGATTAAGCTCCTGGCGCGAGACTGATAGGTCCTGGGTTCGGATCTCGCGTGGGCAGGATCGTAGGTGCGTACTGCTGAGTCCCATACTAGGACGAGACGGCCGTCCAGTGCCTCCAGGTTTTCTATGGTAGTCTAGCTTCAATTGACTCATGATTTCAACCAGTGAAATATAGATTAATAGATATACAAGCTAGCTGATTTAAGTGTAGTCCGATTTTCCGAGGTCTCCACGAAGAAAAGCTTGTATACAAACTCGGACTTCTAATTAAAGGCAGTGGACAGTTATGAAGTTAGATGTCTCGTTTATCGTACTGAAGTCAAAATTGTCAATAATCAGTTTAGTGAACGATCATATCAAAGATACCCAGCATTCCGAAAGAGCAATAAGACTAATTTCCCTAAATACATAGAACTATTAGGCGACATAATCACAAGATACTGAGGATTAGTAGGATTCAAGGCATGTGTAACACTGACGACATCGAAGTATTAAGTTCAATATCGACAAATGCATTACATTCATGTCATAATAAATTTGAGACCTAACGACCATAGCAGGAGAAATAGATTCATGATATCGGTATTAAGAATGACTGGTTACACCTAAGAGTAACTTTTAGAAGTCTTGCAGTAAAGTTATTTTGGGAGAGGAGTAATCAATGTTTTATGTATACTTGTATAATTTACAGAGCTATATCTGCTGTACCTGAGGGCAGGACGTAAGGTAGTAAGTTTAAACACTGGATTCAAATACAGTACTGTAGACTTTCACAATCCAGCTTCATTGCAAATCACACCTTCAAATGCATTAGGAAAAGTCAACTAATGTCGTCTGATGAAAGGTGATCATACTGTGTTGACTTTAGGACTAAGACTCATGAAGTAGTTTTGAATCCCAACACTGAACATGTGACCTAATTGTCCAAGTGTAGCATTCTAGGAATGAAGACAGTGTTGATGGAAACAGGAACAAGCTTTATAATGAAATCCAGGAAAGAATACTAATGTTTATCTGATGAACATCTTTATACAGGATTTCCACAATTCTCTGTTGATTTTCAGGTGGGTCGAAAGGTTTTTATTAGAAATAGGCGAGACTATAATTTATTGACGAGCCAATCAGGTATAAGATAATAGGCCTCGGATATTGGCGTAGAATTCACTCATTCAATTTGGTTAAAAAGAGTTTTGACATTATAGCTGATGTCAGTTCGTGATGAAAACCCTAAATCTAATTCCTAACGTTAATCATCAACTGTAAGACACAACTCTAGTTCCTTACACAGGTTTAGAACCCTCATTTGATCATAGATATTAGGTGGAGACTCTCAAGGTCAGTCTAACTTAGCTCAAAGGTTGTCCATAAATTATTGTCTCACCGAGAAGTATACTTGAGATATGACCTAAGTGCCACGTCCAGAAATGGACACTGAAACTACAGAATTTCCTTATTTTAGGGAATTTTCCTACGTTTCCATAGCGCATTCCACAAAACGGATAAAAATTTCCCCGAAATAGGGAGATTGGGCTAAAATTCTGAAGTACATGATTTTTTAACAATAAAAAAGTCAATGATTCCGTAATATTCATGTTCATAAGAATTGATGTTTAATGACGACTATAAGCATAAAACTTAAAGGCTCACAAAAATGGGACACGTGACACAATCAGGTGTTCCTTACGGGGCGAAGCTGCAATTAATGAACAAACTAATCAGATATAAGATAATCGGTCATAAATCTTGACGGGAAATTCATTCATGCAGTTGGCTAAATAGCTTTGCATTATAGCCGATGTCATTTCGTTATGAAAATCCAGTCTAGTTTCTAGCTCTAACCATCAACTGTAAATCATACTCCCAAGTGTTTTATAACCCTAATTTAGTCCCTATCAGGTGTCCATTCTCAAAGTCACTTCAGCGTTGCTCAAAGGTGGTTCATAAATTCTAGTCTCACCTCTTACAGTCTAAGGTATATTCTTGATTGCGAAATGGTCTTGAAAATCAAGACCCAAACATTACCTGTTACGTGTCGATGATTAGTTTCACAAAACGCTAATACGTATATTACAGACTATATGAATTTACTAAGATATTAATATGAAAACACTTTCAAGTAAGGGTTGCAACAATTAACATTCACTACCCATCAAAATGAGGATTTCACAGAGTATGACTTACATTCGTTCCTGCGTCTCCTAGATTCAATATTTTTTGGTTTATAAGGAAGTCACTAATCCGGATTAAATGCCGCTTCCTGATAATTTAACACAACACTACCCTATGGTACTACTAATAAGACGAACCCGATTGGCTGCGAATGACCTTACAAAGGTCTTTCCAGCTAACCAGAAAATACAGGTAAAACAAACAAACAATTTAGTGCAGAAAGCCATGAGAGGTTAAGCTTTGAGAGTAGGTAGAGGTTTTAAGTTAAGGTATATCAGAAGAATACACTTCATCAACAGTAGTGATTACTCATGCATAGAATTTGTTCTATTTCGCATAAGAAAATCAAATCATTTGCTTGTGGATCCTCCGAGTTCATCTTTATTATTTTGTCATGATTATTAACACTGGTGGGTTTTCTCAGACATTGAAAGTGTCCAAGCTAAATGATCATTCTCCGAGTTTCACAAATCACGTAAACGCTATGTTAAGTTCTCCTTCTTTACCAGTATATACGGTCTTGCCACAGAGAAATCAGCAAGTACACGAATAACGTTTGAAACTCGAAAACAATTATAGGTCTGAAAACTACACAGGCCTGTAATGAGTCACAAATGACTGGCGTTATAGCCCTCTGCAGTCGTTTCAATAAAAGGCATTCAAAAGAAACATCAAAATTCAACATTTGGGAATGGCAATAGTTTTTTAACAACGATATCTATACTTTCAGCTTACTGAGCAATAATGTAATTTGTAGTTATTATTTTCGGGGTACCGAAGTGGTTATGGAGCATGTCAGCAAATAACTGCGATCAAAACAGGGTTCGGAATTGGAGTGGGGAATTATGACGAGAACCTGTAGTGGCATTGAACCACAACCACACAATCCACAAAGCTGAATACGAGACTACTCAGAAAATAGATACTCAATATTTTTAACGCGGAGAAATACCTAACAACGGAAAAGGCGGGAAGAATGAGTTGAAATAATTGGAGTTCATCGGCGTGGTCCCTGGGGAATGTTACCTTATATCTTTTATCCATATTAAATATATTGTCCTATCTCTAGCCTAAGCTTCCTCTTCATCATGTATTGGTAATTGTCACAATGCAGTGAGTTGGTGTAGACGATGGTGCGACTTCCATGTAAGGTCTTATAGATTAGGCAGTTATATCATGACAAGTCTACAATTTTAGGATTAGATCTATTTTTAGAGCAGTACTAATATCATAGTGGACCATAATGTTACGGGAGAACTGAAGACATTTGGCGGATTAAAACCTTTCGTTGTACATTAATAATTTACTGTGATTTTGGATGTAATTGTTTTACTTAACTTTTGAACTTGTTTGTTTATATCATTATTTTCGGACATTTTGGTTTGGTATTTTGGTGCTCTCTTTGTCTTTGGTTTGGTATTTGAGAGTTTTGCTCCGGGAACCTACAAAATTGAAGGTTTGTTTTGTAATTGTTATAATTATTGTTGTTAGAACGCCATTTGGTCGATTATTTGTGAATTACGAATAAATTTGGTATCTAAATTGGAGCTTGGTTCTGTTGTTAATTTGGGTTCGTAATTTGCAAGTAGATCGGTAGTCCGTACTTCAATAACTGGAACGAGCAAAACTTGGACATAACAAAAAGTTCTTCAATTATTGGTTCTGTGTTCATACCTAGGATTTGTCTGGTATTTTGGGTCCAAATTCCTGGTCTTATTGGTCGATTTCGTTTGGATTAATTCAGATTTGTTTTGGTAATCGATTATTTGGATTAACAAATACGATGGAAACACGGAGCAAAAGGCTGAAGGAAAATGACGAAATGGATGGTAAAATTTTTAAAGCTGTTTGTGGTATGTCTGATGTTAATGATGATAAGTGTGATGTTAGTATTAATAGTATGTCCTCTAGTCAGCTAAGTACCTCTAGATTAAAGTTAGATAAAGCATTACTGAGGAGAAGGAATTTAGAGAAGAGACGTGAATTAGAACGGGAACTTAAGATGTTAGATCTACAAGAAGAGGTTGATATCGCTGAACTAGAATGCAAGGCCATCGAGGACGATGAACGATTACCCGTAGATAAATGTGGGATAAATGCTCAAGTGGGAAATTATTTGGAATGTGATACTGGGTGTAACAATCACTCAGAGAAGTTATGTAACATCTCAATTATTGATTGGGTTGAGGAACTGAAGGATACGTTACATACAATGGTTAGTAACATGGTTATACCTAAGATCGATATGATGTACTTTGATGGGCAACCGGGTCAGTATTACCGTTTCATTAGTCAGTTTAATAGCCTTATAGAGAGTAAATTGTCAGATAAGGGCCAACCGTTGTCGTATTTGTTATATTATTGCAAAGGAAAGGCCAGAACAGCAATTGAATTTTGCGTTTCTTTGCCCAGTCATTTGGGCTGTGATAGGGCTAAACGAATTTTGTATGATTTATTTGGTAAAGAACATCTTGTTGCACGAGAACTAATTATTGAGTTATTAAACCATAAATCTGTCGGAGGATCAGCTGACTTATTAACTGACTTTGCGATTAAGTTGCGTAATGTATGTATAACGTTGAAGGAAATGGGACACATGTCTGACGTTAATTCTACGGCTAATTTGGAGGTAATAGTTTCATGCCTAACACTAGAATTGCAGAATAAGTGGGTGGAAGTCGCCGATAAGATCATGATACATGAGAAGGAGCCGAGCTTTGAAGAATTTGTGGTCTTTGTAGAAGAGAGGGCCAGAATTGCCCGAACCCGTTATGGTAGATTAGTACAGTGTAACTCAAGGTTCGGTAAAAGGAATTCTGAAGGCCAAGCTGATAGGGGATCACACTTTCATGCAATTAGACGAGACCCAAATAACTCAGTCAAGGTATCACGTTGTGAAATCTGCGTAGGTGATCATGAGGCGATAGACTGTCCAAGGTTAGCAAAAATGAATGTAAAAGAAAGGAGGCAGGAGGTAAGAAAAGGTGGTCTATGTTACTTATGTTTGAGGAAAGGTCACATAGCTATGACATGCAACTCAGGCTTCACGTGCGACGTTGAGAATTGCAAGGTTAGGCATAATTCATTATTGCATATTGATATTATTGATGACTATGTGGTGAACCTAGCTAAGGATTGGAACTCCTCAAAGGTTTGTTTGGGGATCGTTCCAGTCAGACTATACGGTCCCAAAGGATGTTTGGAAGCATGCACTTCTAGATAGTGGTTCGGACACTTCTCTTGTATGTGAAGAATTAATTAATCAGTTGGGTATCAAAGGTCAAGAGACTTCGATAAGGGTGGCGACTGTGAACGGAACTACCAATTGTGATTGTTTGGAGGTAAATTTAGAGGTACTTTTAATTAGATGAACGGGGTTCTATAAGTATCAACAAAGTTTACACGACCAAGAAAATTCCGATTGATCATGCAACACCTTTAACCGAACTCCAACTGAAACGGTGGGAACATTTAAAGGACATAACCCTTCCGAGGTTGCAAAGTAATTTTGTAGGAATATTGATTGGGTGTGATGCTCCGGATGCACACTGTGTCCTGGAACAACGTCTGGGGGACAGGAAGCATCCGTCTGCTGTACGTACTCATCTCGGTTGGATGATTATAGGTCCTAAGGGAGTATCAATGTCTCTACATCAAGTTAAGTGGTGTCATTGTTCCACTAATGATATTTTGCGAGATTTAGAAAGATTATATAATCATGAGTTCGAGGATACAGATACATTTCGTAATGGATATTCTGTCGAAAATAAAAAAGCTCTAGAAATAGTTAGCAGTTCGTTTAGATTAGAGGGTGGTCATTTCCAAGTTGGTCTACCATGGAAGTATGATAAGCCAAGACTACCGAATAATTTGGAACTAGCTGAACGCAGACTAGAATGTTTAAGGAAGAGGTTTATGAAAGATAACATTCTTTTGGAGAAATATCAAGTTGTGATGAATAAACATTTAAGTAAGGGCTACATCATTGAAGCTAGTGCAGAGGGATTTGACCATGATGCTATTTGTTGGTATATTCCTCATCATCCTGTTATCTACCCTAAAAAGCCTGGAAAATTGAGAATTGTTTTTGATTGTGCGGCTGTCTATCAAGGTTGTTCTCTTAATGACAAACGTTTGAGAGGACCAAATACTAAATAGTTTAATTGGTGTACTTCTACGATTCAGATTAGGTAACGTAACATTAGCTGCTGATATCGAAGAGATGTTTCTTCAAGTAAAGATCCCGAGACAAGATAGGGGAGCGTTTCGTCTATAGTGGTGGGAAGACGGCGATATAAGACGAACGGCTAAGGAATATTGTTCAACAGTTCATCCGTTTGAAGCCGTGTCCTTCTCCTTTTGCGCTAATTTCGCTCTTAAGAAGACAGTAGATATATTCGGTAAGGAATTTAATGAAGATATCCAGAAAGTCGTACATAAGAGTTTCTATGTCGACGACTATTTAGCCTTCATTGATAATGTACAGGATGCAACTGGACTGGCAAAAGCCCTTAGTTTGCTTCTGAAAAAAGATCGGTTCAGACTTACGAAGTGGATAAGTAAGTGTTTGCAGGTTCTCGAATCAATTCATCCAGAAGAGAGAGCAGAAGCCGTAAGAGAGATTGACTATGAAATACTTCCTTCGGAACGCACGTTGGGATTATTTTGGAATACTATGGTTGATTCGTTTGAATTTAAAGTTAACATACCGAAACGCCCTATCACTAGGCGAGGTATATTGTCAAATGTAGCCTCACTTTACGATCCTCTGGGATTGGTAACACCGTTTATACTTCCCATGAAGCAGTTACTTCAACATTTAGGTAAATTGGGACTAGGATGGGACGAAGAGATTCCAAATGAGGAAAGCAAACGTTGGTTAGAGATTTTAAGTGATTTCAGAAGGTTGAGGACGTTAGTTTTCCACGTTGTGTATTGTTTCTGCAATCAGATCGCTCGCTCCTGGAACTTCACATTTTCAGTGATGCCTCCGAAATTGGATATGGTGCAGTGGCATACGTCCGCTCTTACATTTCTGACACTGAAATATGTTCTCGTCTTGTTACGGCTAAGGCAAGAGTAGCCCCCTTGAAGGTCAAAACTATACCGCGCTTGGAACTTACGGCAGCAGTTTTAGCAGCTCGCATGGGATC